TTGCAAAAATGGCTCCAAAATCCATATAGGTTGACCAGTCTTCTACATGCACTAACTAAAAATAATACTTCTAGGCATTTTTATTTTAATTGTTTACACAAACTATGAAATTCCTTACCTACATGTATTAGTTCTAATTTGTTAAATATTTCTTATGAAATTCCAAACCTCTTCCCTCCTATTGAGGGGTTTCCAGAGGCTTTATTATTAATATATTACTATCAAGAGTATTGTTTAGCATGCAACAATTCTCCCAAATTTTTATACTGCTTTTCCATGCACGAACCTTTATGAATCATTAAAATACTGGCGATTTTGAAACTCAAAATTGATAAAACTCCCTGACCACTTTCTGGTGTTTATAAAACTTGCCACAATTCTCATGTTATGCAGGAAAAACAAATAAAAGCTACCATATTACAAATTGTTGTTAAAAATATTCCTTGATACTTAATTATCATAACATACAATGTAAAGCCACTTTGCTTTCCTGCACACAATTACCTAAAACTGTGCATTATATTCAAACTTAATAGGACTTTGTCATTAAAAATAACAATCAAGTATGTACTGCATTGTCATCAAAGTAGATGGAAGATGGTTCTAGGGTTTCAATAATCTGTGCTTAATAACAGTTATCTTATAGACACACAGTAGTTGTTAACTTGTTGTTGATGGTGGACATGATGTTTTTGTTTCTATGTTCTCACCTATCAGTTAGCAAACAAAGAGTACTTTACAAGTTCTGTTACATAAACAAGAATGATGTTCTATTAGTATGATTGTTACATTTAGCATGATTGTTATCAGCATGATGCTACTTTTACTATGAGTACAAACACAAGTGTTGCCATGATAAACATTCAGCCTTTATAAAAGTACTGAGATCGATAGACTATCTAGTATTTACAGTTAAAATGTAATGTACCATTATTGCTCTCTCCCTTGTATTTCTGTCAGTTTCTAGTGAGCAGATTAATGTAACTGATGAATATGATTTAGAGACTTTCTTGTGCAATGAGATTCATTCATTGGATGATAGTATTCTACTGGTGTTATCTGATAACATTACTCACCTCATTAGTAACAATGTATCATTTTGTGTGATTAACACTAACTACTCACTGACAATAGCCAGTGAATCCTCAAAGCAAGCTCTTATAAAGTGTAATGATTCCAGTACACCACCAAACAGTGGGTTTGCTTTCACTAATGTACACAACCTGACATTAACCAGGTTAGTATTCACAGGCTGTGGTGAACAATTGAAGAGACTAGCTGTAATGGACTCAATCAATTCTAGTGTGTCTCCAATGCATTTCTCACAGTATCATTCAGCTGTTTTGCTATTTCTTCACATCAATACATTGCTCATTGATGAGGTTGATCTTACTAAATATTACGGTTTTGCTATTCTTTCTATTAATCCAAGAAATG